TATTATTTATTCTATATCTTATATTGTATTATTTTTAAAGAGTTAATACCTAGTTGAATAGCGCTAGTGAGTGAAAGTCTCAAGTTTATTAATTGAGTAAAAGCAAAAGTGTAAGCATTATGATTTATAGCTCAATTATTTATAATAGATATATAACAATACTTTGAACTTCAATAATATCTAAATCACAATAAATTTCCTAACCACATTCAATCTAATAGATACAAGAAAAAGTTCACAAGTATAGCCAAGTATTTTACAATTCAAAATACAAATTTATATCATTTTGATCGAAGAAGACCTGGATATTTATTACAAGTTTTCAAATGACATAAATTAGAACCTATTCTATATATGATAAGTATAGTAGGCTTAAGTCTGATTAGTTGATTTTTAAAATGATCATCACATATTAAATTCATATAAAAAAGATGATCATTAATCTTTAAATGGATTTGCAGCCACAGGGATATATTCACAAGGGTTATGATAAAAAATTTCTAAAGTATATCTTCTGTTTTATAAACTGTCAAAGTAATTTAGTAAAAAGCAAGATAATTTAGAACTTAGCTAATAAGGGTTTCTTTGCAATATGTATTTTATAGAGAGAGAGAAAAAAAGAGATTGAAAATTGAATTATATATTGGTATATATTTTAAGATTTATTTTATTTATTTACACAAATAAAAGAGAAGGTTAGATTATTTCTAATAAATAATAGATAATGTACAACTATTCTTTCATGTTTTAACTTTATTGTATAATTTTGATTTAAATTTTTTAAACCAAATAACTAATAATGAACTGTAATTTAGATAAATATTTAAATGTATTTTACATTAATATAATTTAATAAAAAAATATTTTAATATATTTTTCACTTGTTAAAGATAAATGGTCCTTTTTACATAATATTTTCACATAATTATTAATGATTTCAGACTTAAAAAATTTTAAATTTTAAATTTTTTATTAGAACGAATAGTCACGTGATTTGTTATTGGCCAATCATATTAGTGTATAATTAGCCAATCATAGAAAAAGCCTGCTATGCTGTATATGTTATATTGTGAATAATGTCATGTAATATTTTAATAGATTTTAGACTAACATTCTTTAGATTCATTTATAATATGATACTTTTGAAGATTCTATGCACTATCTTCTTAGTTCTGATACTTATATTTAATAGTATTACATAATTTTTCGTGTATAATAGTAAATAAAAATTAATATGTAGATTTGGTAAGTTTTTAAAATTTTGAATGCCTGTTTGTAAATAGTAAGTGTTTAATTATAATTAGTAGTAAAATATAGTAAATAATAAAAATAAATACATAATAAATAAATAAATTATAATAAATACATTTTTTTAGTGATATATATTGTGAGTTTAAAATTCATTGATCTGTTAATAAATAAATGCTTTATTTTAGTTATTATTCTAAATTTTAATAATATCTAAGTAGAATTATCCATTCATTATCTAAATAATCATATAATTTATCATAATAATTTTCACTAAAAGAATCTTTAAATACTGTCACTATCATTTTTAACATTAATAATCAACATTTTAGCCAAAGATTTACTGTTTGATCACTTTATGTAATTTTCTATTCAGCCTTAAAATGATAAAAGTTCTGATTTTTTAAGTGTGTATACTTCAAGAATCTATTAAGAATAAATAAAAGTATCATAGTTAGTTGTAAAATATTCTGATATCATAAAGCTGTCAATATGTAAAATTAGATTTAGCAATTTTTGCCAAATTTTTGAATGTTTGAAAGACTTTCAGATCATAATAAACTCTGATTTTTCTTTTGACAAAATTGCTTCAATTGTTATCTTAAGGAATCATAGAACTTTACTAGCTATAAAATGATAGATGTCTTGTGATAACTGAAAGTATCTTTCTCTTTTTAATTGATCAAGTATTAACAGCTGTAAATATAGTCTATATTCATATTTAACCACAAACAATTTGCATACTGTAATTATATATGAGGCAGATATTTCTTCAAATTGTTGATCTGATAGATAATGGTAATGAGAGATTAAATATATTTCAAGTTAGCGAATGTTAAAGAACCTTTTATTATATAATAAGTTTGATATTCTTTATTAGTATTGGCATACTTATAGCCAATTAGTATATATCAAAATTTGACCTATTTTATTTATAACTGATTGAAATGAATGTATTGTTCTTTAGATACAATAGGTATTATTGTTTCTTAGAAATAATAGTATTATTATTTTTTAGGTATAATAGTATTATTGTACCTAAGGAATGATGCATTTATTGTATCTTAGGTATGATGAATTTATCATTTTTAAGGGATATAGTATTATTGTTTCTTAGGTAAGATAATTTTATTATACCTAAGGAATGATGATATTATTATACTTAAGGAAATAATATATTTATTATTCATTAGGAATGATTATTTTATCATTTTTTAGGGATGATTGTTTTATCATTCTTTAGGGATGATAGTTTTATCATTTCTTAGGTACGATTGGTTTATTATTCCTTAAATACGATTATTTTATCATTTCTTAGGAATGATAATTTTATCATTTCTTAAGGATGATGGTTTTATCATTCCTTAGGGATGATAGTTTTATTATTCCTTGAGAATAATTATATTATTGTACTTAAAGAATGATGGTTTTATCGTTCTTTAGAAATAATAGATTTATCATACCTTAGAGATGATTATTTTATTATACCTAAAAAATGATTGTAATATTATTCTTTAGGTATGATAGTTTTATTGTATCTAAGAAATAATGATATTATTATATTTTAAATATGATAATTTTATCATTCTAAGGAATGATTATTTTATCATATCTAAGAAATGATAGTATTATCATTCCTTAGAAACAATAGTTTTATCATTCTTTAAGGATATAGTTTTATCATTTCTTAGTGACAATTATTTTATCATTCCTAAGTAACTATTGTTTTATCATATCTAAAAAATAATGATATTATTATTCTTTAAGAATGATTATTTTATCATATTTAAAGAATGATAGTATTATCATTCCTTAAAGTTGATTGTATTATTATTCTTTAAAGATGATTATTTTATTGTTTCTTAAGGATGATGGTATTATTATACCTAAAGAATAATAGTTTTATCATTTTTAAAGAATGATTATTTTATCATACATAAGAAATGGTGTATTTATTATTCCTAAGAAATGATTGTTTTATCGTACTATAGATACAATTATCATATCTTAGATATGATAATTTAAATATTCTTAAAGAATGATAGTTTTATCATTCCTAAGGAATGATTGTTTTATTGTGCCTAAAGAATGATATTTTATCATTTTATAGAGACAATAGTTTTATTATTCCTTAGAGATAATGGATTTATTATTCCTTAGAAATGATAGTTTTATCATTCCTTAGAGATGATAGTTTTATTATTCCTAAGAAACGATTGTTTTATCTTACTTAAGGAACGATGATATTATCATTCTTTAGATATAATAATTTTATCATACCTAAGGAATGATGGTATTATCGTATCTTAAGTATGATAATTTTATCACGATTGTTTTATTGTACTTAAAGAATAATAGTATTATCATTTCTTAAATATGATAGTTTTATCATTTTAATAAATTGAACTTTTGGATTAAACCAATTTGCTAATGTACTATTTGAATTTATTTCTGGTATATAATAATATTTATATAATAAGCTTAATTTTTTAACTTTTTAAAAAATAATTTCAATCATTTTCAAATTTTCTCTTTTTATATTCCATCAAAATGCTGAAAAAAATTCGTTCTAAGAACAAAAAGACCTTATGTTGAATTTTAGTCAATTTTTGTCTTTAACTATCAAAATCGGATAAAGAAAAAGCTGTATTTTAGTCAACTTTTCAAAAATAAACTGATTTATTTTTATTTATAATAGAAATATGCTTCTAACTATCAAATTAAACGAAACTTGAGTTAAATTTTAGTTAATTTTTCTGAATTTTTTTTTACTTTTTATAATAGAAACATGCCTTTAACCATCAAAATTAAATGAAATTTAAGTTGAATTTTAGTCAATTTTTCTGATTTTTTTTACTTTTTATAATAGAAATATATCTTTAATTATCAAATCAGATGAAAATTAAGTTGAATTTTAGTCAATTTTTGTGATTTTTTTATTTTTTATAATAGAAATATGCCTTTAACCATCAAAATCAGATGAAATTTAAGTTGAATTTTAATCAATTTTTCTGATTTTTTATTCTTTTTTTTTTGAAAATAAGAATATTATTATAATGAATATTTAGGATAATTTAAGGGAATTTTAGGAGAAAAATAGATTATATTTTTATTATTTTATATAGTTTTCTATTTTTTATTTATATTTTTTAAATAAGAAATTAATCAGTGAGTTTTAGTAATATTTTGTTATATTTTTACGAGTTATATCAGGTTTTTATTATTAATAAAATTTTAATATTTAATAAATTTAATAAATATAATATATCAATTTTATATGCTTTTTTGATCAAATTGATACCAAATTGAGGCCAATTTTAAGCTGATTTATGGTTGAATTTAAGTTCTGAATTGAAGCTGAATGGTCATATCAGATTGGAATTGATCAGTATCGATCGGCACCTATTTGTGCTAATCAGAAAATATGGTAATTAGCCATAAATAGTATCAAAATCAGCCTAAAATCAGCCATCTGATTTTAAATTAATTTGGACTATTTTGACTAGTGGCTTTTAGTATTTGAAGACAAAAGAAAAAATAATGTGTTATTTTGTTAATGATAGTAAAGTTAGGATCCTTCAAATAATAATAATTTGCATCTTAAACTGTTATTATAATAAAAATATATATCAGATTACTAACTTTTCACTTAGTTTCAAAAGAAAATCAAAAACTGAAAGTGATTCTTATCTCAAAATCTTCTGTTAAAAAATGAAAATGAAAGAAGAATCCTATTGTTGAAATTGAAGATGATGAATCTACAAATGATAATAATTAACAAAATTTATCAACATAAAGATACTGAGGCATCAGCTCCAAAAATTACTGCAAAATATAATCAAAAGAAGTCTCAAGAATTAGCTGTAGCTGCTGCTAATGAGAGTTTTGAATTCAGATATTAATATTCTAAAACAAGTAACTGCTGGTAATGCTTTGATTAATAAACTTCTAGGATTATCCAATGACGATGATAACCTTTTAAAAGGTAACTTTTACTTTAAAATTATATTTTGATAACATTCAAATTTTATTCATATATTCTTCCTCTTTTATTTCTTAAGATGGAGATCAGGTTAATGAATGAGTTATAAATATCGAACGTGAACCTCTTATACCACCAATTGGATTCTACATAAATAACACATTGGATCATTTAAATGGATTAAATGATTCAAATAAAGCATATTCTCGCAATACTATACCTCTTTCTCGTCCTAATAATAGTCTTAATAATAAACCTACTATTACGCCTCGTTTTAATCATTCTAATACACGTATGAGGTTTAATAATGATGGAAATACTACTACTATTACACCTGTTCTAATACACGTATAAGATTCAATAATGATGGAGAGGAGCTTCGTTCTAATATACCAACACGTTTGTTCGAATACATCATTTTATACTACTGATAATAATGCTCGTTTGACCTTTCAAACATCATACAATGTAGCAGAATCAATCCTTCTGGCACCTTTTTGCGATATGAGGAACGTTCAACAAATATGTTCATGGTTATGTGTAAATCCAGACATCTTGCTACTTGCATACAATATGCATTTATCAATAAATACACAGTTACGAGCACATTCAAATTTATTTCCCCACACTTAAATCAACAAACATCAGCAACATCAGCAACTGGTATTTCACAAGACAAGGTAAAGTTTATTAATTTTAATTTTATTTTGACTTTTTTTTATTAATAAATACTAAATAAATCGCATAATACAATAATATAGAAGTTACAAGACAATCTAGAATTTCTCGAAAAACTGAAATGCTTATTCCTCCAGGTGCGAAATCTTAAAAAAGGTGTTTTCGAAGAAATAGTACGGCAAATTTTCAACTGCCATCTTAATTCTTATGAAGGAGTTAAATCATTGAAGACAGCCACAAAGATTTTGGAGATTTTTCGAAATAAATTTCTAGATAGTCTTGAAGGGAAGATTGATGAATTCAATGAACAAAGGGTCCAGTAAGTGGATTCTTTCGCTTTAATTCTTTGTCTTTGTCATACTAGCAATTTTTAGTGAATTCTTTTCATTTACAGAAAAAAATTGCCAACATATCCTCAAGAAAGTGATATCGTTGCATTTGTTGATGAATCTGTAACGATGGATGTTTTAGAAATGCGACAAACATGACCGAATTAAGAGATCAAAATATTGCTAATGACTTGCTATTGTGAATCAGTATTTATTTATTACTTATAACAATAGATACTTTACAACTTTAATTATTTAATCTATCTATAATGTTATTTTTATTATATTTATTACGTTAGGCGAAAAAGAAAAGAAGAAAAACAAGCCAAATTATGAGTCAATATTTAATTATTTTATTACGATAACTCGAGAAATATATACATATAAGGATTTGACACGAAAAATAGTACACGAAAAAAATTGAACAAGAAGACGTGTCTCGTTATAAAGGTCCGATAGATATGGTGTATTATTGGTGTATTGTTTTATCACAATAGTTTATTACAATTCTATAATAAGCGTTTTATTGTTATAAACAATGGTTTTTATTAATTCGTTTCTATATATTTTTATTACAAAGATTTTATAAGACTTTCTCGTAATAGTTACATTTTTATATATTTTTTACATTATTTAATTATATAATCGCTTTTTACTACAATAAAATTTTATAATAAATTTTTTTTAAAAAAAAAAAAAAGACAAAAATTCTTAAAGATTTCATAGGTTTATTGTCAATTAGTATTTAGTACATCGAATAGACATATTGGATTAATTTTTTCGGATAATTTTGATTATATTAATCACCTATTCAAGAAATGCTACGACTTCGAAAAGGTGTTTCTTCGATGAATTTACGATCATGTTACGAGCTCGTCTGACGCGATTTCGTCACGTGTTGGATACTGAATTGTGATTTGTTGACGATCACTTAACCGCATGGTAAAAATCACGAGTTTCTGCAAAAGTATGCAATTTTCACACAAGAATGATAATAATGAATAAAATTTATTTGTTAATTTGGACAGAATTTCACTCATTCGGATATTGAGAATTTATTTTTTGCAAACTTTTATCAGTTATTGATGTAAATATGCTAAAATTAATCTTCATAGTCTATGTAATTCAATATCATAAAATTTTATTATAGATAAGTATCCCTGTTATTTAGTAACTTTTTTCATTTAGTATGTATTAGTTAAAATTAATTTTTGGTTGATTTGAAAAGTTCAATCATTTGGAATACCTCGCGGCCGAAGCATAGCAAATTTCATATGTTTCGAAATTTTGCCATTCGCTTGGATCGCATGACGTACGCTATAACGCGATTCTATTATTATCATGTGACCTGACCTGATCAATTTTAAGCTAATAAATAAATTCTTTCTGGGCCTAATTTTTTTAGCGGACAAATTTCCCGCCATAATGTACGGTTTAAGGGATAATGAAACTCAATTTTTGCAACTAGCTGCTCACTTTATATAGGATCAGTTCATCGGCGCGCGTTTTGAACGCATTTTTATTGATTAATTCTAAGTATAAACTGAAAAAAACATGGACAAAATTAAAAAAAAAATATTGTTTCTTTCGTAAGAGAAGCTAACTTTTCGTTAAATCAACTCCATAACAATGAATTTATATAAATATAACTTTACTAATTTTTCTGTTATGTGCAACTCTTGTATTAACAATTACTGCGTCACTACCCCAGCGTAAACTCCACAAAATATCACGAAATGGCCGGCATTAAAGTTTCCGGCCAGAATTAACCGGTGACAAATAACTGCGTGACTAATAGAAGGTTTGTCAACAAAAAAATTCTGTGTCCCTGAGATATTTAGTAAGAATGATAAAAACAGAGTGTGTGACTGGGTGACAAATTATATGGTCATGTGGGGTGTAAAATGTGTTGAGAAAGTACATACATTTTGTGAAAAACTGGTTGCGCAGTTCTACTTATTATTTTCTTCATTTTCTTCACACATTTTTTTTATAATTTTTTCCTTAAATTATTGAGTGAGGACTGTGAATATTTCTTAAACATAGAAGGTTATTTGCGAAGGCTTATTGTTGAAAGGATAATATTAAATATTTTATGTGAGCAAAAAAAAATTGTTTTGTTGCAATATTATATTTGTAAAATCTTTATTTTAAAAAGAATAATTTAAATTTGGTAAACATCCCAATATTTAAAATGTAACAAATTGACATTACAATTATTATGTTTATTATTAGCAAATATAGTTTATATAATTAATTCAGAAATGTTTACCGTAATTAGAGCCTTTCTCAATCTAAAGACGCAAGTATAATCATATAATGCTGCAAAGGGATATTTAAGAATTTCTAAGAAAAAAAATTATGATTTTACTTTTAGAAGTAACCGTTGTCTAAACATTGTAAATGCATAACGGTCTGTGTTATGTCTATACAATTAGGGTATTCGTTAATTAATAATGACTCGTTTATTCTTTAAAATTAATTTTTTTTTATGGAATTCAAAGTTGGATAATGAATCTTAGGAATTCTTAATAATAGCTCATAACTAGTTTGTTAACTTATAAAGTATACGTTTTTTATAGCTTGCTTAAAGAGTTTCCAGGGTTATTTAAAATAAATTTGCCGGCCCGGACCCTGTTGCAAGCCTCTTATATTTATGATGAAAAAGAAAAATAATAAAACAGTTAAGAATTATGAAGAGATAAATTTCGGTTTTCATCCGTTTTAAATTATTATAAAATATAAATTTTGTGAAATGAACATAAATAAATTTATGATAAAAGCATATGTTTACCATGGAATTTATAATAAAACTTCCAAGTCAAGTTCTTCATTTATTTTTTTTGTTAATTCTTCGTGCAATTTTTCAACAGTATCAGTATTAGTATCTACATTATTAAAATCTGGTTCAAATTTATATATTGTTAAAAATAAAAATTATTTTGTAAAGTACTTTGAAACGTACCATTTAAAATTTCCATTTCATATTTCAAGTTAAGTTTTTTTAAGCCATTCTTCACCGTTCCTTTATACAACTCATTTTCGTTACTTTCAATGATATTTATTGTAACAGATGATACATTATTATTTTCCATAGAAATATTATTAAGTTTTGAAATTACTTGACGAATATTTGGTCTTTCATTTGGATCGTATTCCCAACATTCTATTTAAATAGATAAATTAGGCTTATTGTGTAATAAATAAAGATTTTAATAAAAAATTACCATACTCACTTTCATAAAGTTCAACAAATTTAGAATTTGTGTTTGGAATGGGGTTCTCCCTTTTACCAAAGAAAATATCTATAATATTAAGATTTTCTGAATCGAAAGGTGGTGTGCGACTTGTTAATTCCCAGAATAATACGCCTAAGCTATATATATCACACTTTTTTGTTAATTTATAAATATCATGATTATTATAAGGATTAAAAGTGATAGGATCCATATAAGGAAGTACACCAATCAATTTTTTAGTATAATGAACCGATTCTTCTAATCTACGTGAAATTCCAAAATCGGCCAGTTTAATCGTATGTTGATGCACTAATATATTGTTAGAATGCTAAAGTATAATTTTATAATTAATATTAGTAAAATTATGATAAATTATTGTAAATTAAACTTACTAGATCCCGGTGTATAATTCCAATATCGTGCAAACACGAAATTGCATTTGCAATTTCCTTGGCAAATTTCAATTGATCATTCCATTTAAAGATGCTATAATTTTTCTTTAAATATGTTCTCAATGTTCCACTATCTGCATATTCAAGTACAAGAGAATAATTCATACTTTTAACAAATTTATCTGAAAGCAGAAAATAAAAGATATAAATACAAAAACGTTACGAATCATTTAATTGACGAAAGTACGTTTAAATGGTATCAGAAATACCAGAAGAATTTCTTGTGATTCCCCAAAGTTTAATAATATTAGGATGAGAATTAACTTTTTTCATTAATTCGATCTAAACAATAATAATGCGCAAGTTTAAGAATATTAATGATTAAAAGTCAAATGTTAAAAAATTTTTCATAAATACCTCATTGACAATTTCTTTCATACTTGTAATTTTGTTGAATTTTTTAATTGCAAATGTTTCATTTTTCAAATTAACAGTAAAAACTGAAGCGAATGCTCCAGAGCCAACTTCAGTTTTATTCTTAAAATCCGTATGATTATATAAAGTAATTTCTTTTGTGTCAATGGATTTTTCAAACCACTCAGATAATAGTTTAACCTCTAGATAAAAATTAAATATTTGAATCAAAAAAATTATGAATAAATTATGATAAGACTTAAGATAAGATTTATACCTGCATCTTCTATTATTATTTTAAAATCTGATATAAAATATTAGTATAATTAAATAAAGTATTTTAATGTTAATATAATTCTAAGGAAAATAAGATCTAAATTTGAAGTTGATTAAATATAATTACCTTCAACGTCTTCATCATTATAATTATCTAATAAATGAAAATTTAGTTATACATTAAAAGTTTCTTATTTGTTATCATTTGCTATATTTCTTACCTGCGTTATCAAATGCTGATTTTACCATTTCTCCATATTTATCAAATTCAGCACAATCTCCAATAATACATTTATACCAAAATTTTAATTGCTTGTATAGTCCAGGTGCTGTGGGCCTTCGGTCCGGATTAACATTTATACATTTATTAACAAAATCCTTATAAATTTCGGGAGTTCCTTTTCCAAATTCTGGTCTAACCTTGTTTTCAAATAGACATTTTCCAGTCGAAAATTCAATCATAACTATACCAAAGTTATAGATATCAGAAGCTAAAGAATATGATTCTCCCTTTATAATTTCAGGGGCAATATATGGCATTAATTCCAATACTTTGTTATTTGGTGCAATTCGCTGTTTAATTGATTGTGTTAGTTTAAAATTCGTAATATAAATTTTTGAATCATCATCTAGCATTATACTTCCATAATGGAAATTATTATGACTGTATCCTAACTCATGTAATTTCTTGAGTTTAAATGAAGTATCACGTAATATTTCAATTTTTTGTTTCCATAATAACTTTTTATCATTTTCAAGTAAAGTCCGCAAAGATTTTTGATTTCCATAGTGAGTGACCATTATAAATTCTTGAGTTTCCGGATGTTTAGACATTCCATAAAACTTTGATGAAATAGCAACATCTATGTTAAAGAATTCCCAGTGGTTTTTAATCTATAATTTAAACAAATACAATTTTAATTAATGTTAAATAAAATTTACACCAGTTAATAAAGAGTACAGATTTATCGATAATAAATACGCAGAAATCTTATTAGTAACAGTTGTAACTCGTTAAACTATAAGTTTGAACGACCTAAATTTGAAATCAAATAAAAACCTATACCTCATTTAAACAATTAGTTAATAAATTAAATTGTTTCAAGAAAACTTTTACAGGTTGCGGTTCATTTTTCAAACTTCCATTCTGCTCAAGGTAATTATCTCTGCCATCCAACCATACCGCCACATAAACTTTATCAAATCCATCTTCATATAATTCTATGTCAATAATTCTATCAAATGATATCCACTCAAGCCATCTTCCGCCATTCCTTGCTTTATACATTGTATCCTTGATAAATGTGTCAATACAAACATCTCCACTGGTCCATCCTTCGCTTATTCGATATGGAGAATCGCATTCTTTACATCGGTTTTCAATAAGTTCTTCGTCGCAATATGAACATTTTCTGTTTTTAAGCATAATATTTTTTTTTATAAATAAATTTCTAGAAAACGATTCTAGAATTACAATTTAAGAAATTTGTATTCTTTATAAGTAGTTTACTTAAACGCCACATAACCTTACTTGCTATTTGATTTAAGACGGATATACTATATAAAGGGTGATTTTCTGTAACTCAACATTGATTAGTCGTTTACACTGAATTAATTACGTATTCATTTTGTAAATGATCGGCATTTGCGCCACAGTCGGTTTCAAAAACATTTCTCAAATTTATACCAGCTTCTTTTCTAAATTAACTATTTTTAGCTTATAACAGAAAATTAACTATATAGAATATAAAAATTTTCATTTGAAGATCACTGGCTTCAACTAGCATAGGAATTACATTTTAACTTAACGCGCGCGCTATATTTTTTTTTTTTTTTTTTTTTTTTGATATTTTAGATAAAATATATTCTTTTTTTTCTTTGTTATCTTTCTAATATAACAAATAAATTAAAAAAATAAGAATTTTCATCAATATTTAGCGAATTTCTATTTGTATATTTCATGAAAATAAATGACCGGAAACCAGAAAATCGTGATGATTTATAAATATAATAAGAAAAAATTTGTTTTATGAAACTATCTTATTGCTATAGTGCATCATAATATTTTAAAAATCTTGTGATATTGTTGATTTTACACTACAAACTTTATTTGAAATTTTAGATTCAACTATAATAAAATCGTGATTTTCTTGTGAATATTTATCTAAATATCGTAACCAATAATAACTGAAATGAAATTTTTTAATTAATAAAATAACATAACTTTATTGACCAAATAATTGAACTGATAAAGACCTAAGTTTTACAATATTTTCAAAATATATGGTGAATAGTTTATTTCATCCAAAAAAAAAAATTTCTTATGATACTAGTTTATCAATTATCTTATCATTACGATTTAAGGTTTTCGGTCATTTATTTCATGGGGCATATGAACACATGTGAAACACGCTTCATTTTTAAATACTTGGTAAAAACTCGTGATTGTTTTCAAATTCTACAGTTCAGTGCATTTTTCTGATAACTATACTCATTGATCTTATTTTCTTGCGTAGCCTTTAGTTCAATCCTAGATTGAATAGAAGAAATTTAAAATTTCTCATACCTTTACGAGATCAAAGTATTAAACATAATTTTTTCACACAAAATAAATTTCTTAATTCTTCCACACATCTTATGAAATTAAGCAGATTTTCTCATTTAAATCTCTGTAGTTTACATCTTAGTAAATGGAAACCACATATTACTCTTCTAAGAATTGTTACGTTTAAGGCATAAACGCTTCAAAAAGTTGCACTTAATGCTCTTTTTAATATTGTAACGCTCCTGAAAGCCAAAATATTTGATAAATTTGTTTCCTCGTTTGTTTATTTCACTTGATACGTCATTATGGTCTTGAGAAGTATGTAAATTAGAAAATACGAATTCATCCCTGTTTGATATCTCTTTGCGTGTATTGAACTTTATTATTGGTAAGTTGACTTTTTCCCCTTAGAAATCTCGATTGCCATCATGTAGATATAATAATTAACTTTTCCTTTTAAAAGCATCAAGTAGAGGTTGAATCATAATTTTGTTTATTTCTGGATCTAAAGGTGACTTTATTTCTTAATATTTTATCATATGTTATTTGTAGCTTATCGATACCTTCATTTTAAGTGTAGAAATCAAAAAAAAAAAGAATATATAAAACGAGATAATATTTTCATTATAATTAATGTTACAAATTTTCCACTTCTTAAATTGCAAATAGCCTTGTTTCCGTGTTAACTATTAGGTCTAATGAAACTTATAACAATTTTTTTTTAAAGTATCTAAGATTTATAGTCACACAGCTTTATTTATTTTTTATTTATAAAATTATTTTTTCTTAGTTAATTACATTAGTAGATAGTAATAGCAAATTAAATATAATGGATAATTTTTTATCATTCTCTTGAAAATTATTTTAATCGACTTCAATTTTATAAGTTTTGAATTTGAATAGCGTTTCATTGCTGAATAATAACATACTGAATAACTTCAAATTATTGATAATGGGATAGACCAGTAAACGAAATGAATCCTCGTATTGAAGTACTAATAACAAATACTCTGTCTAAATATCCATCGTCTTTTGTCATTGCATTCGAATTTATATTCTATATTCATTCGCAAGAAATAGCTTCAAACAACGACAATAATCTATCAATTAAAATTTCGGTGATAAATAGTGTCTATAATAATAAAAGATAAATTTAACGTGGATCAAAATTCGAAGCGTTTATCTAAAACCTTTATCGTAAATATAGCTCAAATTAAGGGAAGCGATTATGGATTATGGAATTATATGAAAAAGCAAAACATAATAAAGAATTATGCGATTTCTGTTACAAAGATGTAAGTGTGGTAAGAAATGTGAAACCGAGAATGCGAATTTTTTTTTAAAACAAGAAAATTTGACTTGTTTAAATACGGTTCGAAAATAAAAAGATCCAATTACGTGTTAGTAAATTGCATATACTTATGAAAACTAGTAAAATCGAAATTTTGCTGCAGAATTTGATGGATACATGAGAAACTTAAATTTTATTTTTTACTTAAGTAGTTGAATTTGCAAACAATCGATTTATGTATCAAAGTATATGATAAGACTAATAAAATTCTCAATGGGATGTATTAAAAAACATAAGCACGTATCATTATAACATTAAACTTGTATTAAACTCACGTTACGAATCATATGATTTCTAATGTCCCGTGACTCGATTTTAATGTATTTTACAATGAGTGGATTGTTTAGTAATTAGGAAACTATTATTAATTTAATAGTTGGCAAGAGGAAAATATTTATTTTGTTTAGCAAAGTCTTTTTTACTTGCAAATATTGATTGGCAAAGCATTAATCTATAAATATAAAAATTGCGTTTAACCGATCCTAATATAATTTATGAAAGTTTTATTTTTAAAACAGTTTCTGAATGTCATTCAAGCCAAATTAAAAATTTGAATATTTAATTCAATTTTATTCTAATTTATTATATAACATAAAAAGAAACTTTGGATAATTTGAAATGTTATAAAATAGGGCGTCCTTAAAATGTACCCCGGGTTCAGCCTATTATCCTAGAACTATCACGTGATAATTCTTTAAAAAATTTATTGATACAGGGGGTCTAGGATAATAACCTAAATCCGGAGTCTAGGATAAATTTGCCCTATAAAATATTAAGTGGTTTATTCCAAACCGGTTTAAAACGGGTTTATGCTCAACTACAATGTTTAGTTTCAAACCGGCTAGTTCCTGGTCAATCAATCAATTATAAACCAGTTTATGACCAAGCTTAAATAAACTCGCATTTAATAGTTTCGTAACTAACTTTTTATCGCGTACTTTTTCTTATTCTTCGCATAACATAATTGCAATATTATCAATTATAAGCATAGATAAAAATCCATTGATTGGCTAGCTAAATGCCGATCTTCATGTGACGATCTACACTGACGATCCAATAAAATTACGTTCACGTGACTTGCGATTTTTCGTTAACTCAACGAAAAAAAGTTTTTCTAACAAACAATTATTATATTAGCTTTCTTTAATTTCCTTAAAATTAACTATTTATATTCTTTTAATATAAATTTAATGGTTTTCTTAATATTAATTATTGAAAAACTTAGAATATTATTTGTATTTTTATTAGATTAAATTAAATATTAATTTTCTTGATATAATATTCGTTGTTAAAAATAAAAAAATTAAAGTTTTCTACAATTTCCATTAAAACTTGAACTTTTAACGTTAAAATTGTCTATTTGTAGTTGTAAAATGGAGATTTTCTTGGTAAGAGGATAAAAATTTAACTACTTTTATGTATTTAAGTATCTAAAGGTTTATTTTTACTGAAAGCTAATACATTTTAATACCAATTGACAATATTTAGTAGTTTTTTAGTATTAATATAAAATTTATAAAACAATTATGAAAAACTATACCTGTAAGTATTTTGAGAAACTTTTGGTTCAGCTGTTTATAAACTGGAATCTCTTCAAGTGTATCTTCTTGCGATGATATATCTTCTGATACTTCAAATTCATTTTGAATATTATTAGTCATTTCCAATCTCTTGTTATATGATTCAGTTAATATATCAATGGAATTTGAGAGATAATCATGACAATAAATACATAAAAAGTTTAATCATGTCTAACATTCATCATGATAAGCATGTTCACAAGATATAATCCATCCATTAATTTGAAAATTTACATAATTTGTTATATCACAAAATTTGTTTGTTTAAAGAGGTCTGGTTGAATAATATTCTAATGATAAAGCTCCTTTAGAAAATCCTTTTAAAATGCCTGAAAAATACCAGTAAGGTTTTTTAACCATCTTCTTCTTTTTTTACTTCTTATTTTCTAAGGTTTTTTGAAATATTATCAAAAAATTGCAATAAAAAAATAGCAGCACGTTTTGCCATTAGGTCAATATTTTGTTTTAAATAAGGGTATAATTTTTTGATTCTAAAAATCTATGCAAAATCATATTGGTGTTGATGATTAACAAATATTCCATCACAATTTAACTTTTCTGAAGTTAAAACTTTTGCATTAATTTATCTTCTAATGAAACTATAAAAGTTTTCTACAGGATAATCATCAAAAGCATTAAGATAAATTTTAAGTACTAAAAGAATAGGATGATTAATTTGGGACCAATATTGAATATTAAATAAAAATGTAAGCATAATTTTATTATAATTCTTTCTTTAATATTAGCACATCATTGTCCATAATTATAATATTGTTTTAACATATTCATCAAAATGGTTATTCTGAAAAAATGCTGTATAGATATCCAATGTTGAAAGTATTAGTGAATCTAATAAGTTAATGAAAGTGTAATATGTTAGATCTTTATTTTCTTTAAAGTATATAATAACTTGTTTTCTAATTAGCATCCATATTGCATAAGCTAAATAT